GAAAAGTTGTCAGCTGTGACGGTGGAAGGAAGCAGGCTGTTACACTGTCCGTGACAACATTCCTTAGGGCAATCTAAACAACCTGCTTTTTCTTGACCTAGGTATCAGGTTTTATCTACAACAGCTCTGAGTAAGCAAGTAGGAAGGTGATTCAACAACTGTTCCCATGACACCCTTTTTACCTCTGCTGAGTGCTTCCAGTGAGAGGATGTATCCATCCTATCAGCAGAAAACACTAGCTGCACCATACTAATGCCTGAGGCATGATGCTGAAATGTCTGAATGGATAAGAATGCCCATATATCTCAATGTTAACGTTCATTAAGCTACATTTTAAACATCTGGGTAGGGTTCACTTACAAGTTTCTACAGAATGCATGCTTACAGGAAGAGGCTTGGCACCACCTGTAGCCTGAAATTCAATGACAGAACAGACAGGCAAGACTTAGGACAACTTAAAGATACTTAATACAGCTTAGAAGCCACAAGTTTTCATGGGAAACAGCTGCCAGTCCAAGATATACCTATCCAGTACACCTATTAAACTTATGTGCAATTTCCACTAGCACCCCTGATCCTACAGAGGATGAGGAAGCAGATCTACTGGAGTTCATGCTGTGGAAGAAAGAAAGAAAGAAAAGAAGAAATGGGTATTGTGTTTGTGTTCTAGATAGATTTTTAAACTGGAATCTTGCTCTGTATTCTCAGAGCAAGGCTCTGCATCACGATCAGTGAGAGCATGGGCATTAATCACTCCAAAACTCAGGTCCCTCAGAAGGTAGCAGCCAACAGTGATTGGAAGCAGCCTGTAACTACCTGGGCAGCTATTTCTCTCAGGTCTTCTCAAGAACTATCTGCAGCCTTTCCTTCAGTTTCCTTTCCCAGCCCTCCCCTACTAGGTTCCTCTTTTTCTACACCTGCAGTCAAATCTACAGTTGAATCAATTTTAGGCCAAGCTCATTCAAACTTGACTTGGTAAAATCAGACTTCGCTGACCTATTTGATCCAACAGTCACATCCAGAAACATTTATAGTATTAAAAAGACTTGAGAAACTTTTAATACTGTGAGATACTTTGTCACACACACTCTTTTGAGATTGGGATTAACACAAATAGCCTTTCTAGAAACTTTAGTTTATCATAGAATTTTAGAATGGCTTAGGTTGAAAGGTACCTGGAGGATCATCGAGTCCCAAACCCCCTGCCACAGGCAGGGTTGCTAGCTGCTAGATCAAGTACTAGATCAGATTGCCCAGGGCCTAATCCAACCTGCCTTAAACAACTTCAGGGCAGCCTGTTCCAACACCTCACCACTCTCTCAGTAAAAAACTTCCTAACTTCCCCCTGACATCTAATCTAAATCTCCCTTCCTATATTTTAAAACCATTCCCTCTTGTCCTATCACTATCTACCTGTGTAAAAAGTTTATTTATCTCATGTTTATAATCTTTTAAATACTGAAAGGCCACAATGAGGTCTCTCCTCAGCCTTCTCTTTTCCAGGCTGAACAAGCCCAGTTCCTTCAGCCTATGATGAAATCAAAGAATCATAAAAGTTGGACTAGATGATCTTAGCGGTCTTTTCCAACAGAAAACCCATCACCACCATGACCACTAACCACCTCCCTCAGCGTCACATCTACACATTTCTTAAACACAAAGACTAAATAATTATTAAGCTAATATTTAATCTATTCACATTCAACTCTTGTACTCTTAACCACACACTTCCAATCATCGTTGCTAATATGACCAAGACAGACTTCTCTTCCTTGCTCCGCTTCCACCTTTCCCTTCAAGTCTATGGTTCTATCCACTTATTCCAATCTGTGATGTTCTTCTGAAAGCCCTAAGTATTGGAGTCCCAAATTCCCAAAGGAATCTCAGTTCTTTTAAAGAGAGGGTCCTGTACATTTCAGTTACAACAAAAGTATGTGCCATGACTGTGGTTTAGGGAGGGTAAGATGCTGTTCGGGACTGGTGACAAAGTTTTGAGTGTGTTTCCCGGAATGAGAATCTTAATCAACAGGTAAATGAACATCTATTGGAAGTAATTTGAAAGGAACATCTTAAAGAGAGGTAAGAAAACTAGAAACTCCATGTCATTCTCTGCATTCTCAGTTTACAAGAATAATGCCTTTCTTCACTTTTTTTCATCACTGGCAGTCTGCAAACTAAAGCTCTCTGTATAACCACAGCAATGCAGGTTCTCAAAGCTGAGCATTCAGCAACACCTCTGCAAGTCCTTCTGCCACTCCAGACTTTGCTGAGGGCCGCAGTAATTCTCTGGGTTGTTTTTGTTTGTTTGTTTTTGCTCTCCTAACACTATGAAATGGAAACACTGTTCCCAGTAAGTTGTGGCAAGACATCGTTTTCACACTTACAAGCAGCAATTACATTTCACTCTGAGATGACTGCCACACATAATAACTCCAAATGTCTTCAGTAGACACTACATACATCAATTTTTTAATGCACTGTTTATATATCTTTCCTAGTTATACATCTGTGCATTGAATTTGGTCCCTAAGAAATTGGAGGCAGCGGACTAAAGCCATAATACAAAGTGCTTGTTTACAGCAACAATCACCCTTCTCAGCAAATGGCTGAATACAAAAGGGAATGCTCACCCGATGGACTCCTTAGAACTGCTATGACTTTATAGATGTCTAATCTGAGAAATGTTTCTTGTTAGAGACCTCTAAATGGCTTCATCACCAAACTGGATATTTCAATTATTTCATGACCCAGAGTATCTGACCTTATGGATGTGAGGTACATGAAAGGGCCATGACAAGCATCATCTCCAACTGCCACCCAGCAGCCCCACGGGGACAGCTAAGAACTGTGGCCCTGGCTTGGCAAGGGAGAGATTTGGCAATGCCAAGCAAGCACTGGAGTGACAACTGACTACAAGGGAAATAAATACAAGCCAACCATTCAAGGAGCCTTTGGCACACTGCTATCTTTAACACAATAAAACATTAAAAATAAAATAAATAATGAGTAAATATACACTGAAAGGGTATGAAGAACTCAACTAGCTGGTTGGTTACAAACCTTTCCTGCTAAGCACAGTTCATACTAAGGCTCCACAGTCAACTCCTTCAGACTCAGACTATGCCTCTGGATTGTTAGCTTGCATTCTCACATCCTGCCCAAGGAAAACACATTCACAGATGTCCTGAAAATGAGAGCTCCCAGCAAACAAAGTTCACTATATAAAGATTTCTGAAGTTGTTCATTGTTAACATTCACCATGCACTGCTGAATGCATTTAGACTTAAAAAAACCAAGTCAAGACTGTCTTTGCAAGATGTTATCAAGACTACCACTTACAAATCAGTTTGAATAGGCTCCTATATTTTCTTCTTATGCTGTTTTGAAGATGGTTAGGCAAAACAACACAAAAAATGATGCATTAGCACCTAGTGTGAGAACCACAGCCCGCCTTTGCATGAACGCACTCAGTCATACCGCCACAGGTCGATACTGTTTACACAGGGCTCTGTAGTTCTGTGGGAAGAAGCCAGCATTCCACTGAACACAGAGTCAAAACTAAACCATGTTATCAGAGAATTTTGCATCGTTCCAGTTTGTCAGCTTTATAACATAGAGAAGTAGGGAGTCAAAGCTGAATAGCGAGGCATCTGCACGAGCCAGAGAACAATACCAATATTCATTAAGAAGCTGATATTGAGCTGCCCTCTCATATTTTCAAGACAAGCACTCTATTAATACATTTTCTAACCTTAGCATAACTCTTATGTTTCCATCTCAAAGCACCCTCATATGTGCTGTTGAAGAATGCACAGAATTAGGATAACTGCATGCCACACGCAGAAAAAAAAAAAAAAAAAAAAAAAAAAAAGGTTTTAAATAAATCTCAGGGAAGTTATATATTGTGCCTTGCCAACTGCAGTGAATTACATAGCCAGGAGTTGCTACTGCCAGATTTAGCTTTGTATGAGCTAAAAGGATTCCTTCATAAATTTAGCTAGAGGCACAGGCAACAAACGCATGTGGAAATTTGAACCACAACTCTCCAGCAGCAAAGATTGCTCCCTCCAAGAATGAAACAGTAGCAAAGGAAGACTATTAGCAGGCTCTTATTACACAGCTTCCAAAACACCTACAAGTCATCGGGTTCTCTAGGCAGCATTAGGAATGCCTAAATTATAAGCAAACAACATGAAAAAGAAAAAAATCTAGGCCACAGCTGGTGCTGTATCTCAATTAATAATTAAAGGAGGACAAAAGCTAGCCGAAGAGTACTGGGTTAGCTGTACACTTAGCCGGCTTCCAAGTTTGTTTCAGGTCTTTTTCCCTCCTGCACAGAGCACCGTGGCTCGAAGAGAATGAAATGAGTGCCCTAGGTTTGTTAGCGTTAACTCAGCAATAGTCTGAAAGGCTTCTCATTCAGCAAGAGAGACAAGAACCGCGGCACACAATCAGCAGAGAAAAGCGAGGATAGGAGACGGGGCAATACACGAGTGGTTCCAGAGGACACCAGGACACACTGCTTTGCCGGCTTCTCTCTTTTGACCCAAGAACAAACTTTCCTACTACTTAAAGATGAGACCAATCATATTTTAAGCCTCTCCATGCCACAGTTACCACAATCCAATCAACATCGCTTCAAAGCATCCAAGTTTTTTGGAACAGACTTTTCCAAGCTGTTTTGTGTAAACCCAGAAACATCGCACAGTTTCACTGTACATCAATCCCCGTCCCCCGAAAAAAGACCCGATAAAGCCATCAGACGTCAGAGAAACACAGCACAGCCGTGAACAAAATACCCCTTTCTCTCGCCCAAACCCGGGGATCCCGGCAGCCGCCCCTCGCAGCAGCGCGCACGGAGCTGCCCCGCCGCAGCGAGGCGCGGGGCTCGCACAAAGGCTGCGGGCAAGGCGGCCGCTCCCGGGGGGCTCGGGGGCCTCAGCGACCGCCGAGCCCCCCGGGGCCACCCCCTCCCCCGGCGGCACGAAGATCCAACTTACCGGCAGCCCCGCTCCTCCTCCCGGTTGCGAACCAGGCGCAGACTCGCTCACCGGGGGGCTTCTCCTTAGAGTCCCTCCCTCGCAGCGCTCCGCAGTCGCCGCCCGTCTCTGTCCGTGCGCTCCGGCTCCGAGCAGCGGTTTAATCTCCAGACTTCCTCCTCCTCCCGTCCGAGCAGGGGACTCAGAGAAACTCCCCTCCTCCATGCAGCTCCCGGAGCCGAGCCGCTGCCTCGGCCCCTCCCAGGGGAGGCCCGGCCCGGCCCCGGGCTGCAGCTGACTCCGCTCCTCTTTTCCTCCTCCCCCGGAGGCTGGGAAGGGGGAAGGGGAAGAAAGATTTAACCGCTCGGACTAATCCCTGGAGCCGAGCCAAAGCCAGCAGTCAAATTACAGCCCCGGAGAAGAAGGGAGGGGAAAATAATAATAATAAAAAAATCAGCTACTGTTTTCACGCGTGGTGCGAGCGCTCCGCTCTCAGCCTCCTCTTCAACTCTTTCCCCTCACTCAGGGGGCACTGCCGAAGCTGCACCGTGGGTTTTCCGTCTGCCGTTCTCACGCCCTACATCGGTGTTAAAGGGTCAGCTCTCCCGTAAAGGAGTTTAAACGGCCCAAAGGTGAAAGGGGCAGGTGGGCTCTGACATTCTGATCGCGAAGGGCAAATTCAGGGAGGTTTTAGGGATCACATCTGCCTCCGGGCCACCTGTCTGGCCATCTTCTTGGAAAGGTAAATTTGAGATTACTTTTAAATGATTTCTTCTTACCCTTGTGGAAGATGCACACTCATAAGGAAGTTGCTTAAATTCACCATGAATTTTTAATAGATGCTCAGTGCTCCTCATTCCTTTGACCCCTGACCAAACACATGGTTTCCCATAACGCCTTGTCCTGTGCTTTGCATTCAGTGAAGATCTTTTGCTTTTGTTCTGTAATAGTACACACACACTAACATAGAGCATATAGAATAGGAAGCAGTTTGGGAGGCTGGAATAGCTCGGAATTTGCAGATGTCAAAACAAGTAAGTACAACAGAAACTCAGTAAACCAGGAAGTTTCGGTGTTTGCCCTCATCTTACCTGTTCTCATTAGAATCCTTCAGAAAATAAAAAAAAAAAATAGCTCTGGCAAGGACTGTTCCTGTGTCATTAGTTTAAAAGCTCAGAGCTCCTTCTCACCAGCCACATGGTATACGTTTCAGTGCAGAATTTTAAAAAGAACAACACATTTATAAATTTGTTTTGGCCACATTTCAAAACAAAGGCTTGCATTAAGTAAGTGGGAATAAATCAGTGTATCAACTGAAGGAAAAAAACCCTAAGGGATCTTAATGACAGCCCTTCTCAGGAGTAATATTCATTCACATCACAGAATTAGAGCATGGTTATGAGTAAGGGGTGAGCCTCATTCTTCCTCACCTTTCTTACACACCATCCCAGCCCTATCCTGGCAGAAGGTGGGAGCCCAGAATCCACAGAATGTTCTGGAACAATGCTTCAGAGAACTGCTCTGTAGGTCAAACGTGGAGACAATGAGCAGGGCTGGACGTAACTGGCACCTTCAGTAACCCAGGCCAGAGATCACAGCTTCGTGCACTGCGTCACTGCTCCACGTCAATGTCCAGCATCCGATGGGGACGTCCTTGTCCCAGCGCACTACTCTGGCCTTGTGCTAGGGACAATTTGCACACAAATGCGAGAAAACAAAACAAAACAAAAAGCAGAAAACCCTTCTCCAATGAAAAAGCTGCAAGAAACATATTTGGAACCTTTCCACGCTGGGGGAAGAAGGGAGTGTTTTCCTTCATGAATAGACTTTTCAAAGATGATAACAAAACAAACTACTGGATGGTGCATTTAAACTTGGGCCAAATTAAAACGAATGAAAATGCACACGCATCTCCATATGGGAAATACAAGAACAAAAACCCCAAACCACATGGTATTCCAAGTCCCTTTAAGAAAATGTACGGCCTCTGAAAATGTGTTTTAAAGGCCTGACATGATCTGTTCCATATGGAGTTTGTTTTCTCTCAGCGCTGTGACTAACAGGAAAAATCTTCAAGAAGAGAAGCCTCTTCCTTTCTCTTCATCCTTACCTCCTTCTCCCCAAAGGACCGATCAAGAGCCAGTCTGGTTTCTGTTTGCTTCTACTAAAAATAGTGTTCCAGCACACTGACCAAATGCCTCCAGTTCTGTGTTGACTGACTGACAGAATACAATTGTTGTTGCAGAAAACGAAAGACTGATACAGGTTTAAAGGTCAGGCTTTATGACTCTGTAATACAAAACAGTGCATTTGGAGAACCACCCCTTTTTGGAGGAATTACGTACATGGGCAGGCTGTGATAACTCTTATCTCTGGAGGTATTTATGCCCAAATAACTTGGGCATACATAACAAAGAGGCTTCAGGCATGTCTGCTTTTCATTCAGGTATCTCTCATGCAATGATGCCTGTGGTACATATAACGGAGAGCACAGTGTGTGCAGGAGGCTTGATCAGTTTGCCCATTTTCCCTTGATCATGCTCTCGCACATAGACAGGCGACAAGTCTCTGTTCCCCCCTCCTACAGCTCTTTCAGCATGCAGAGGTTCCTCTCATTCACACCGCTCTCTGCCTCCCTAGGACCTCTCCTCATGTATCATGGGAACCAGCCCCATCCACCACCTCAATCATCCCAGCAGGAGCTGCCTGTGTTCAGGAGCCCATACCAACATCCAGATGATATCTTCTGTACAAGCAATTGGGACTCTCCTCCAGATACTACTCAAAAGGATTTTGCTTATTTGCTTATAGGGATTTGGAATCTATTTTTTTCCCCATTTCGGATTTTCCTTTCTTCTAAAAAGTCCATTTAATCAGCTCATCTACCAGTATGTTTATACATCTACACATACAATCTCAAACACTGAATTTCCTTATGCCATCAGCACTGCATCACACTAATCATTGTGCCAATTTTTTTCTCATTTTGGGTGTGACTCAGCAAAACTCTAAGCAAAGCTTTTAAACGTACGGAAAACTGTGTCCCTTCAGCTTTGCATTCTCTTCCGCTTTGTATTCAGCATTCTCTTCAGGAGAAGCTGAACTTTATGTATTCTGAGTTGGAATTTAGGGGTAAGATTTTTCCCTAAAGAAGCAGAAAATTGCTGCTTGTTAACACATTCCACTCACATTTCGAAGGTAAAGAGACACCACAAACTGCACAGTTATGGGAGGATCTGGAGAGGTAAGCAGCTGCCTTCATGCTCAAAGATGTAAGGCAGGAAAATGGATGTAGTCCTAAACCATGCACCCTACAGTCAGCCTAAATCCTAAAAACATCTGCAATGTATTCCTTGTCTAGCATCCAAATTAATTATTCCACCCACGGTACAGTTTAATTGGCAGGCATAGGTACTCTTTTTTGCCTTGCAAAGCAGTACTATTAAGTGTGGTTTTTTAGAGCTATGCCCCTTATACTCTTTCACGTATAGTAATGCTAAGAAGCACTCAATGATTCCAGTAATTAGATGTTCCAGTTGACTCATTAATATCAAATAAAATGCTACATGTCTACTTTACGCCTGTGTCATGCAGGTATTTCAGTATCTCTGAGTTGATTATATATCTGTATGAAAAAAACTGGAGGCACATGTAAGTCTTTAAAGTAGCACTGCTATTAGAGATTCCAAAGTTCAGAATGCCTTACTCCCAAACTAGGTATGAATTTTAACTGGAAGTCTCATAGAACAGAATCACAGAAACATTAAGGTCGGAAAAGACCTCTAAGATCAAGTCCAACCACCAACCCAGCACTATGTGTCCCTCATTGCCACATCCACACGTTTCTCAAACTCCTCTGGGGGTGCTTTAAATACAAGATGGATCTGCATCACACTTGCTTTTGGACACTGCACAAAAATAATAAGAGTGAGATGATAAAATTTACTGGTTACAAGTATGAAGAATGTCAACATAAGGAAACAACAAGATATACTGCAGATGTAATTAACTAAACTTAATCTTTCTAAGAAGAGAGTTTGGTTTCTTCTTTGGGAACATTTCCACTCTGAAGTAAACATCTTTCAGATCAATCCCTTTTCCATGTAGTGGAAAAGTGTATCCTCTACAAATGCAACTGTATTTCATAACAAGGCATGCAATCCAGCTGCAGCTCTCACAGGATACACTTCTGATAAGCTCAAAAGAGCACAATTATCTTGTCATCTCAGGCCTCACATTCTTACACATGGTTCTCAAGTGTAACCTCCACTTTGTTATGTTTTCTGAAGCATAACACTGGACAATAGCCTTCTAGATTTCTCATCCTTTCTCCTCCTGAAAACTTTCCTGCTGGCTTATTCCTGAAAATATTTTCATCTACAGCTTTATAAACAAAAAAACATTTCAGTCTGACAAGTACTTATCTCTTTCACTAAGCAATTTTCTCCAAAGTACTTTAGTTCCTGAGGCTAAAACTGAGCAATTTATTTCAAACTTGAGGGGAAGTACAGCCTCCAGTCATCCTCATCTAGAATAAAGTCAGCATTAGCTCCAAACTCTTTATATTAAAGCCACCGGGTTAAGGACAAACCACTGCATCCCCTCCAAATTGTGATGCACTTCCCCATTTTTTTAGTCTCAACAAGATACACAAAAGCACTCAGAGTAAGGCTGAATCAGGATCCCAATCATTCCCTCTTCTCTGTTGAGACAGGCTAACTGGGCATGCAGGAGGTTGTATTGCAAACATCAGCTGCTTTTTTTTTTTTTTTTTTTAAAGCCTGAATTGATTATCGAGGAAAAAAAGTATTGGGGGATGTAACTAATGGAGGCTTTTGGTTTGTGTGTTTGATTCAGGGGCTGGAAAATCACACCCTATAAAAGGTGGTGGTTGTTTTTTTTTCCTGTTCCTCGTGCTCTGTGGTGAGTCCACATGCACAAAAGGCAGGATAAAGTCTGAGGCCTTAGAAACACAACAAAGAGTGCATTGGAATCTCTTTAAGCAGCAACTAAGATCTACTTTTCAATGTTGCTAATACAGGTTTCTTGGATGGCAGATGGCTCATCTGATTACAGGAACCCACTTCAGCTTAAAGGAAACTCCTTGAAACACATAACCACTGGTGTCTTCTGGCTCATCTGGGTTATTAAAACAGCTTCTACTGCCTAAACGAGTGTCTTGCGGTTCTCTACTTTCAGCTGCTCCTTTTAAAGCACAGTGCTTCACAATAATTAGACTAATTGTTTTCCACTACCGTCTGAGT